GGAGCCAGAGCCCAAAAATCGACCTGATCGCAAGCGAAGGTTTGAATGTAAATTACTAAAGTGTATGTTATTCTGAGTAAAATTAACCTTGTCTGCAAATTCCAGAGCCGCTGCTTTAAAAAATGGCGGCTGATTTGAAGAATATTAGGACAGTAACTTGAGAATAGAAACAGGAAATCCATTGCGGATAATGTGAGAAATGTTTTTATGTTTTAACTTGTATATATGAGTTTAGTAATGTAAAAAATAAAATTGCTTACGCGAGCCACCAAGGGAAAACTTTTTACAACCAAAAAGTCAAATTTTTTCGATATTTTTATGTTTTTTAATGTAGGTCACTTACTCCGAACAAAATCGGTGATCTCCCGATAGTTAGAAATTGGTAATGAAGATAAACGTGATTTTCAATATTTCAAGAATATGAGTGTCTATTTTCCTGAGTAATTTTTATTTAGAGTCTGTTATATGCAGTATAAGCCTCTTTTCTACCTCTCAGCAGCGAAGGATTAAAAACGATATGTCGAAAAATAACGAATTTCATAAAAAAATAACGATTATTTTTCTCCCGATTCGAGTTGTATAATTGGCCTAAAATAAAAATGTCAGTGCCCAGTATTAGCAAAATTTGATTCTATGGGTTTTTTCTCATAGGGGACTCATTTCCAAGTTACAGGGCCATTTATGGTAATTTGTCTCAGTTTTTGACAAATCTGGTAAAAATCCACTTTGTTCGACCGTGATTTCATACCTTACCACGTAACAAAATTATTATGTTTATGCACTCGTTCGACGCATAATTTAACATTCTATTATTTCTTAAAGAGTATATTTTTCGCTTCGATGCATCGTTTAGGAGTTATACGTGAAAAAACCCAACAAGTACTAAACAAATCTTACTTTTTGGGCTGTAAACAATTTTCTCTTGGTGGGTCGCGTTAGAAATTTTGTTATTTAAATGTCTAAATCCATACACACGTGAAAAAATACAAACTTTTTTCACACTTTTCTCAATGAATTATCTGTTTCGATCCTCAAGTTACTGGCCTAATATTCTTTAAATCAGATGCCATTTTTGAAAGTAGCGGCTCTGGAATGGCAGACAAAGTTCTTTTTACACTAAGTTCAGAGTAACATAAACTTTCGTAATTTACAATCAAATCTTCGCCACCATTTTTGGGCCCTCGCTCCAGGGATCGAATATGTTTTGGAAAAATAATTTGCTGTCATAGAGAATTTTTTTTCCCCCTTTCCTTCTACTACAACCCCAAAAAACTTCCTGTCCAAGTATATACACCTATTTAAAATTGCGAGTACAGCCTCCATAATAAAACATGAATTATTACAATTAAATTTTAAACTTTTATGAAACATTTAATTTTTAAATTATTTATGGTTAGAGTTACAGATTAAAGTGCATGTGTTTTATATCCATTCCCAAAAAATAAATTGTAGTGTAAAAAAAACTTTGAAATTTAGTGTCTTATAATTTCAACCCTGGGAAGTTTTACAAAAATAATTAACAGAACATTATTTCGTCAGAAAATAGACAAAATATTTTTTTATTACGTTTGTACGAATGTGCTGCTATCTATGACAAAATAGATGAAGCAACAGATATGTTAAAAGCTAGTATTTTTCAGTAACAGGAACATCCAATTCCAGTTCCAAAAAACAACTTGTTACAAAATACTATAAAACCAACTGTGGAATAAAGAGTTGGTTCAGAAATTAGGCTAGGCATTAACCTGTTACTTTGTAATAGGTATGCACTTTGGAGCAGCTACTAATTTTCATAAATAACAGGCTAAAACAAGTATTTCCACTAGTTCTGCAAACGGTAGTGGTACTAAAATCTTCCATTATAATATTTAAAAATGTTTGAAGTAGTTCTAAAAACTTATTTACGATAAGTACCTATTTCTGAAAATAACTTGAGATTTTGATCACAAAAACGAGACAAAAGGTGCAACCTCTCCAACCCTAACATGTCAAAATAACGAGTTTATATTGAAAAAATGAGAGAATATTTTTGAAGGCAACCTTATTTCTTGATTTTATCATCTAATTATTTCAAGATTCAAGTGGAAAGAAAATTTGTATTCGTGAGTATTTAGTATCTCATTAACTTAATGAGAAAACACCTCACTTCTGAGAATTTCCGCAGAAAAAAGTTTTAGGTTACAAGATGAAGAAGTCATTCACGAAGTTTTTGATGGATATTAACAATTTCATAAAAATGGGAGTATATCACGGACCAAGGACAATAAAACTACAAGGTTTGCTCACTCAGAAATGCGTGGTGGGGGAACTTGAAACATGACGTAGGACTAGACCGCCTGACCTACCTATTACTCTTTGAAGCCTATCAATGAAGGTTTATTTCAAGATTATCGTGCTTTTTTTTATGTTTTCTTATTTAATTTATTGAAAAGGATACGTTTCTGTGTTTTTGACATTTGATTGATGATAATTTCAAGTAGATAAATAAATAAATAAGACTAGCAATCTAGAATAAAATGCTATGAAAATTACAGACTAGATTATTTTTATATTATTTATTTCAAAGTCATATACTGTAAAACATCTACAAATATATTACATAAACAGAAAAAACGAAGATCTATACTTATTTAGAGAAACAAAACAACATTGTAGCACAATTTTTGTTTAATTTAATTTTTAGAAATCGGGAAATAATTAGAAATTTTAGAAAAATGATATAATGATATTATAAGGATGAAAATAATTGTCAGAATTTCCAGTCAAAATTTCTTTAAATAAAAAATTTAAAAAATAAACAAATTTTTACTGTGAATTATGATATTTTTTTTAATCTCAATAATTTTATATTGCATATTAAAAATATATTATATTACACCAATTAAGAAAATTTAAAGAGCCCCTTACTCAGTCAATATTGAGTTTCGTCAATATATTGACCTCGTAAGGGCTATATTGAGCAATGTTAAACCATATGTACGGATCTTAAAAATCACTGAGCAATACCGAATTTCTGGTGCCCCTCTTGGCAATATGTTTGAATAGGGAGATAATACTTTGTTTTAATATTTTTTTTTTTAAGGGGAGTTAATCCCCCCATCCGTTTTTTTTTTAAATGGCAATGTTTGGGTAGATGAGTGATATTTAGTTTTACTTTTATTTTTTTTTGTGCTGAGGTTAATCCCCTCTCCGAATTTTTTAAAAGATAAAATGGCAATGTTTGGGTAGGTGGTGATACTTGTTTTAACATTTTTCTTTTGGAAGGGGAAGGTCGCCCCCTCTCTTCCCTCCGAGTTTTTAACATGATAAAATGGCAATATGTTTTTTCTCACTTCTATAATGGCTTTTTTTTTTTTTTTTTTTTTTTATTGGGTCCTCTCCTTCTTCGCCTTTAAGGCTATACGGGGTTTTCCCGGGCCAAGGAACTCGTGACTATTTTTTTATCACTTTATCTTATATCAGGTTGCTGGGCAATGGTGGTGCTGTGCACATGGGTTAGCCCATTCGGCCACCCCGCCAGCTCTTCTATAATGGCTGCCTTGTATATGGTGGACTGTCTGGAAGGTTTGAGATCAGATTGAAAAGACTGAAGAATAGCATCATTAGATCATCTTTAGAGCCCCATGGCACTCCCACGTCGGCAATATCTCCTATGTGTTTTATTTTTCCGAACCTTTACAACCAAAAAAACCCTCTTACCTTCTTTATCTGTTTAGTCCTTGTTCCTCGGTCCATTCATTCAACAAGAGATCTTAGCTCACAAACCTTTTTATTCCTTCTCATAGAACTTTCCTTTAAAAAACCCTTTCTCATACGTGGTATCTTGCTTTCGAATTTCCCATCTACTTCCGTACACAAATCCTCATCCATCTCCTCAGCAATCACACTTTTGAATAAATTTTGGAATAATATTTTTGTGTTTTGGAGATGTCAGCCGCCTCATTTCGCTGTATCTTATAGATAGCTTATAAATACCTATTTTTTATACGTGAACACACTTATATATATATATATAGATTATATATATATATATACCCGATATAGATATATATATATATATAATTGAAATGTTAACTTGTGCCTTTCTATTATTTTAATTTCAAGGCTCAATAACCATGTAATTTAATTAATTCTTGATCATCTTATGCCAGACAAATAAATGTCTAGTGACTGAGGTCCCAGAATAAAATTTACTTTTCTTTCTTCCTTCCTATAAAACCATGATATATCGATGAAAATGAAGGATATTTTAAATTTAATTGATGACCATAAGGTAATAATTGTACACAATAATTTGTAATAAAATACGTTTTTGACTAAATCTTATTTGGGTTTTTCAAGTTCAAAAAAAAATTATGAAACAAATGCCTAATGATTGTTACATACTATTTAGATAAATAATGATTTTTTATATTTTAAAAAACAAATTGTTGGTATTGTGTTAATAAAATTTTTTTTGTATTAATAATTTTTATTTTTTCTTAATTTTTGCCTATTGGTCCACTTGTTTTTGAATATCTCAAGATTTAAGTTATCACACTTTTTGTAGTTCCCGAAATAAAATCGTCTTGACGAACATTTATTTTTTGATTCCAGTGAAAATTGGTATTTGAGGGTCTATCGAGGCGCAAAATAGAAATCACAACTTTGTTTCACCTTAAAAAATATTTTAACCTGCTTCACTCCTAGGGCCGCTACATATTGTTTCATTTTGGAGATAATTCTTTTCTATTTTGATGACAGGTTTTTTTTTTTTATTTTGTAGTGAATTCAGGAAGCTTTCAAATAAATATAGGTGTTATCAATAAAAAATTGTGTACTTTTTTAGATATCGGCAAATAAAATTTTGAATTCATTGTAACATTTTTCCAGCTTGTTTTCAGGAAAGTATGTTACACACATATATTAAAAGGGTTTCAAGGGGAAGACTTTAGCCAAGTTTCATTTTGGTGCTATAGTTCGCCTACCATTTCGAAAAGAAAGGTTGGATGGTAATAAAATGTTCAAAAAACATACCTGAATTCAATTTCAACGCTGTTTCAAAATTTCAAAGCAATCTGTGAAGAACTCTCAGAGAATAGCGGCTTTGAACAAAAAAATTTACATTTTTATTTTTTTTTAAACATATAAAATTATCGTATGACAGAAGTACTAAGCCAGAAACTTTCATGGGTGTGTACGCAACAACTTCGCAAAGTTTTATGGCGATCAGATGAATGGCTTAGTAATGCACAAAGGACAAACAGACAATAGATATATTATGAATATAATAATATTATCTATGAAAACCAGAGTTTAGCAATGATTTTGAATTGGTTTACTTCATTTGTTGTTAGTAAGAACCTTCCAAATAATTATAGTCAGGAATTAATTAATCAATTATCTACAATGATTATAACAATATTATGTAGTTTATTTAACATATTTTTATTCTTTAATATAATAACAATTCAAATGTAATTGATTCATCACTTCACAATTTAACATAATTAAAATATTTAGACATTTATTATCTTTGATAAAAACTTTGTTTAGTAAATGTATAAGTATTTCAATTATGTTAAATTGTGAAGGGATGAATCGATCACATTTAAATTGCAATTATATTAAAAATATACTTAGTCAAAACTTTTATTAAGATGAGTCGAATATTTGGGTTCTGTTACAAATGTGACAGTCTTGGATGGATTACAGTAGTGTAGTTCGAAAACTATTATAATGTTCTTCCCAGGGCATTTTTTCAAGTAGTTCCGAGGAACATACAGCGTCTTCTGTGGTCCGATTTTCCAGTATCGACCGATATTATGCCCATTTACGAAAACTACACCCTAAAACAAATAAAATAACTTAGCATTAGGTGATATCTATAATATTAAAATTTAGATAGATAGATATTTTTATTAGATAGATAGATATTATTCTTTTCAACTTTCAGCAATAGATAGATTTTGCTATATACATCATATATTGTTTACAATATTTATACTTCAAATAAAAAAAAAATGTATAAATAATTATCTTTATTAATTTTAGCAATAAATAATTGTCCATTCTTTCCATAAAATTTATAAAAACAATTAAAATTAGAGAGATACTAAATAAATCACAAATTCCTTTTATTCTTAACTAAGAAGTTTTCTGTGGCTGTTCCTCATACTAATCCTGAAGAGTTCCACAGTCAGTAAGTAAATATAACACATTACAGTCGAACATATGGCATAGGCATACTTTTTCTGCTTGAAGAGAAAATCTGGCACGGAGTATAGATCCTTTTTTTTTTTTTTTTTCTTCTCTCCCCTTCCTTGCCTTTTAGACTATACGGGATTTTCCTGGAGCAGGTGATTATTGCCAGGGATAAAATTCTCCCCAGTACCAGAACGCGAACTGGTAGTTATTTTATCATGTATAACTTCAGTTATCAGGTTGCCGAAGCAATGTATGGTGCTGTGCACACATGGTAGCCCGTTTGGCCTTTGCAAGCTGAGCCTTCTTGATCACAGGAACACAAAGAATAATTAAATCAAGGAAATAATTAGGTTTTGTGGTTGTAAAGGCTTTGGAAAAGGAAACATACCTATGAAATATTACTGTCATGAAAACTGGCTAGAACCACTTTAACTCGGCATACTAACTGGAGACATCAAATATGAATTTAATGAAGTCCACTATATACAAGGCAGCCTTACTTTTTTCTGGAATTCATTACTTACCTCCATATGCAAAACCTCTTCCTTAATCACATTTAAACAACAATTATTCTTCCTCTTCCCAAGCAATCAAACTTCCGAACACATGTAAGAATAAAATTTCGTATTTAACAGCTGATATCTTCATTTGACTGTTACTTATGTATTATCAATATTGTTAATCAGAACAAATATGTGAAAACATTCATATATATTTATGTGGCAAATTAATATGTTTACTTGTAACTAATTATTTTTTATTTTCTTATAGTACCAGACAATTGTCATTTTTTTGTTCATTGTAGTTATTCTTAGGGGACTAAATGTCCCAGAATAAAATTTACTTTCTTCTTCTAGTTTTATTGCCAACAGCTACATTAATATTCTTATTGGCATAGCTGAGGTTAATCCAACAGATGGGCTCTGGTGTTACCGGCACTTGTGCAGAGCCCTTCCTAGCAATGCAATCTGTTTTCTCATTGCCTAGGATACCTGAGCGTCCAGGAACCTAATCAACAATTCATCTACCAACTTGAGGTGGGTTGCATAACCATTCAGGGCACCGACTGACGCTTGGCTCTCCTTGAAATTGTAATTAATCTATTCGTAACTCCTTCCCTTATTAGGGATTGAAAGCATCACCATTACAGTTTGTCTTGTCTCAATGAAATACATTTTAACTTCTAAACATAGCTTATGTTTTCAGTCCTTTTTTTTTTCCAGTTGTACGCTGCTTCTCAAAAGAACATAAATTACTATTGTAATGCGAACATAAGGCGCCTGCAAAATTTTATTTTAAGCGTTCAAATCCCGTTCCTGGAAATTAATATAAAAAAAAAAAAAAAATTAATAATAAATTAAAATGAATTTGTGGAGGCCCTACTCGACTACTTAGACCACTACAGCACGGGTTCGATTCCCGCATTGAGACTGAGACTGCGCTTATCCCCTATCCCATAAAAAAATTGAGTAGAAGATTAAAACAAAAGATTGCCAACCATCCTTCAGATTCCTAATGAAGAGGGAGTGAAATGTGATTGCATCAGGTTCGTAAACCACATGCTCCCTGGATATCTTAAAGAAAAGAGAATCAAACGACCACTACAGCCACAAGCTGCTGAAGAAGACTCATGACTTAAAATGTTGAAGTCAACAGGCCCTTAGAAAAAAAAAGAAGGAATTTGATTCAATATTCTTTTGATTTGATACAATTCCTGAACTCTAAAACTTCAGGAAGGCATTGACAGAATAAGTGCTTGGGCACACCACAATAGGCTCGCTCTGAACGCCGAGAAGACAAAAGCCAACTTGATTGGATCCCCCTCACTCCTCAAATCCTACCCGATATCTCCCAATTTCCTCCTGAACAACTCACCTATCTCATTCCACACCACCGTTAAAAACCTAGGTGTTACTTTTGATCAAACCCTATTCTGGAAACCACACTTCTCCCAAATTTCCTTTCGCACTATCTCCACCCTAAAAAAGTTCAATCATCTACGATATCTCCTTCCATATAAGTCCCGTCAACTCCTAGTTTCCTCCCTTGTTTTCCCCCACTTCGACTATGGCTGAATGGTGTACAGTGGACTCTCGGGAGATTCCGAGGCCAAACTTAAATACCTCATTGCGCACTATGATTTGTTTTCGGAATCTCAAGAGATACGCATATTACCCAGTATTACACTGAGTTGAGGGGGCTCTACTCATCCTATCACCGTCAGTACTTCCTAGCCACCTTTCTGTACCAAATCATTAGAACTCATCGACCCCCTTATATTTTTCACAGCTTGCAATTCAAATACTCCATCCAATCCCGTCCCACTATATCTCGTACTTCCGAACTCTATCCTCCTCCTCACTGAACTGCTGAGTTTGACAAATCCTTTGCAATACAAGCCAACTCCCTCTGGAATTCCATCCCTGCTGACATTCGACACGCTCAATCAGTTTCCTCTTTCAGACCTCTCCTCTTTAAACACCTACTCCATTCTCAATCTGACTGATTGCGAAATATACTGAGGAGAAATATCTAAGCACCCCCAGAGACTCAATTTATTTAGGTTATTTTAGTTTCTCATATATATGTATAATTTTCTTGTTCTTTTCTTTCTCTTCTTCAGTATTTTTATTTTTAGTCAACTGTTACTGTAAATATATAATCTAATTGTAACCACACAGACATACAATCTGTATTTATAATTTGTTCTAAAGGGACAACAGTCCCCGAACGATAAAATTTTTTTTTTCATTTCATTTCAATAAGAACTTACCTTTCCCCAGTTTTCCATTGAAATAAATGTATCCAAAGGCTGTTCTCCTTTAGGCAGTATCAATACTCCTCGATATACTATAGGATAAGAAGAAATGTTCTTCATAGGACTCAATTTAGACAAGATTTTTACATCTTTTGCAGATAACGGATATCCTTTTATAGTCCAGTTGCTCACAAGTTGATTATCTACAGTCACATCACGTACTATACCCTAAAATAAAAGAATTGTGTAGAAATTTGATTAATATATTTTTTTTTTGTGGTTACTAATAATGATTTTCTTACTTTTGTACAATCTGATAACAATTTAAAATTTCTTCTTCCCATGTTTTCAATGAATAGTCTCAGCATCAGACCCGACCTGTACCATGATGGAAGAGGAAGCTTTTCAATTACAGTGTACTGTAATACTCCAATTTCCCTCTAGGTAGAAAGTATATTATTAATTTTAAAAAACCTATTAGGATAAATTCAATAATCATATGTCAATATTATTTCATATTACTTAACATAACATTTAATGGAATAAAAAATCCTGGTTGAAATCTCAAAATCCACTAAGTGATAAAAAAGAAAAAAAAAACCTCTCAGCTGATCAAAAGAAAAAAGCTCTAATGAAAAATGGTACAGAGATATACGAAAAACCAGGTGGATGAAGCATGTTTTTTTTTTATTTTAATGAAATTTACAACTGTATTACATAGAAAATACAATAAGTAAATGTGACATTGGTAACATGACATGTACAAGATGAAGAGAAAATACTCATTGGTAGAACTCAAATTAAAGTTCTATATTAGAAGGTCCCGAGGCTATCTTCTTTTCAGACGCCTCGGAGGTTATCGGGAATCGAGGAGGAAGCAAGGTTTGAAACGAGAGGATTCGGGTGGTTCTGCAGTTTGTTATGGAAGGATAGGTATCTGGATTGGGCCAAATCGGAAACATATGGAACATTAAGGTCTTTATGGATGATTTTATTTGTGACAAAGTAAGGAGCGTTGAGGATTTTACGAAGGATTTTGGATTGTAAGGATTGGATACGAGAAGAATTCGATGGTTTAGTGGAGCCCCAAAGCTCAAATCCGTAAGTCCAAATAGCTATTATTATTGTCATATATATGAGTCATTTGTAATTGATTGAAAGCTTAGAGCGTTTGTCTAGTAAGTGCTGCTGTAGTCGAAAAAGTCGAGCGGTTTCTAGTCATTTCAGTCTGGTATGGGGGTTCCAAGTGAGTCGTTTGTCAAGGTGGAGTCCCAAGTATCGGATTTGTTCGACAGGGATAAGTGGGTTATTGTTGAAGGATACTCTGTAGGACAGGAAGTCATAGGCTTACGACGAAGAGTGAAGGTAATTTGATGGGATTTATTTTAATCCTCCAGTTTTGACACCATTTTTCAAGATTTGTGATGTGTGATTGAAGAGTTGTAATAGATGAATCGTTATTAACTGATAGGAAACACGTGCCATCTAAAATGTAAATCTGAAAAAAACTAAATTTGATGATCTTTTATTCCTATTACGGATTGATTAGTTCAATGTTCAACTTTTTGAAAACACCCATAATTAAGATAAATTAAACTAAGTGCTGTACATTAAAAATATTTTTCTAAGCAAAAATCCATATTTTTAGTAAAATGTCATATAACATGTTCTTTCACTTAGCTATTAACGAATGAATGAAAATGTGTTAATTCACATAAATAAGATTATCCTTCATAACACATAAACAATGGAAAATTCTCTCTGTTCAGGACTGTGTGTTATGCCAACAAAATATATTTCATTTTATATCCTAAATACATTAACTGAGAAATACAATTTTTACTAATTACATTTTTCTAATTTATTTTTACTATCTCAAATCTTTAAATAAAGCTTTCAAAATGAATCATTAAACGTTCATGCTATAATAAATAATACAACAAGAAATAAATACTATATATAACAAATAAACAATGTGTACCACTAATTGTTTACATACTGACTGGACTTTCCAGTTGGTATCTTTATGTGAACTAGATATTTCTTCAAGAGAACAGGTTTGATGTCTTAAACATATTTTACCCTGATCTAATTATAGATATGAGCGCTCAAGAAGTGAATGATGTTATTTTTTTCTTTATTGATGTTCTTTGCTTGCCAGGCAGTTATCATTGTTCTCGTGTATTCAGGGCTTAACACTTAAATTGAGCAATTTGGTCCTACATCGTGGAACTGTCTCAAACGCACATAAGCCTGCATATATAGAAAAACTAAAATGTTGACATTTTTCAAAATTACTGTTTTTCTGATTCAGCTACTCTATGTTTAACAGCAGTCAACTTTACATGTAAATCAGTAACATTTGAAATATCGAGCTTAATTTGATAATCATGGGTGATAAATATTCAGGATGTAGTCATTTTAAAAAAAATTTGAATTTTATATTTGTGTCGGCGTTTCAACCTAAATATGTAGGTCATCATCAAGGCGTGTTTCAAGAACTGAAGATGTTCAAGTACTGAAACACTGAAGAGTACTTGAACATCCTCAGTGCTCGAATCACGCCCTGATGATGACCCCATGTTTGGGTTGAAACGTTGACACAAATAAAAAATTAATTTTTTTTTTTAAATGACTGCGTCCTGAATATTTATTACCCATGATATGTAGAACAGTCGACTAGCTTCCTTCATTAATTTGATAAGGTTCCTCTAATTCCACCTTCTTCTGATACCAAATAACTTTATTTATCGTTTCTTTAGCTAGGATATGGAGCAAATGGGAATCTGGCATCTCTAGAACTTTCAAAATTTAATTTCAGCATACAGGCATATTATAATTCCTGTTTCATAAGCTAAAATATAATTAAGAGCAAACCTCGGGAGAAATAACATTTTTATGTGTGACGGAAATATTACTAACCATAAATGTACGAGGTAGGTAAACATAAAACTGGAATTAATCCATAGATGGCTCTAGTTGTTAATTTAGTTACCATTAAACTACATTATTGGCACAATTTTCTTTCTTTGACAACTGATAAAGATTTGCAACTTACAATAAAAGTTTCAAATAACAGTATTGTTTTAATAGTATTGAGCATTGTAGTTTTTTACCAACAGACTACAATTTGAAGACAGCATTAGTTTTATATTACCATTTGAAGAAAAATACTGCAGCATCACATTAAATACTTGTCAAAACATTGGGTGAGCATGCTCTTGATAAATCATAGAACTTTAAAAGGTTTAAAAAATCCAAAAGTGGCAATTTGACAGAAGAAAAGAAGAGTTTACACTACAACACTGAAAAACTTTGAAGACAGCGAATTGTTGGATGAGGATGACACTCAACCAAACTTGCAGATTAATTTAACGTAATGCGAAAAGCTGTTTCCATATCTTTAAAAGCCATGGGGTAGATCCAGAAGATGCAGAGAGGGGTTCCACATGAATTGAATGAATGAAAGCAAGAAAAATGGGAAACCACCTTCGAAATGATGTATGCTAGATACGAAAGAAATTCATTTCTCTATTGAATTGTGACAGCTGATGAAAGGTGGATATATTTTCAGCAAGACCATGTTGCTGTTGCTATAGAAAGAAAAAGGGAAAAGATGGTTAAAGAGGAGAGCTTTGAACGAGGAAAGCATTGAACCATGGCGGATGGTAGGTGGGATAGAGTTCCAGAAGGAGGCAGCTTAGGAGAGGATGAATTTTTCAAATGCCACAGTTCGATTAGGAGGAGGGTAGAGGTCAGAAAAACAAGATCGGGTGGAATGGGATTTGATAAATGATTTAAATTCTAGGCTCTGAAATATGAAGGACAAGCACCAAGTTCTGATTATGTAATATAGCAAGGAAATACTGACACCTGTGAAATGGGTAGAGCCACTTTAGCTCGACATAATACTGGGTTATTTACCCAGCTACGAGGACCATTTACGATGGAATGATAGTGGGTATTCTGAGGTAAGCCTCTCCTGCATGGTCTCAGAATCTCTCACACCGTCAGAAACGCAGATTGGCGAAATACTGACACCTGTGAAATGGGTAGAGCCACTTTAGCTCGACATAATACTGGGTTATTTACCCAGCTACGAGGACCATTTACGATGCAGATTGGCGAACGCAGATTGGTGAAATACTGACACCTGTGAAATGGGTAGAGCCACTTTAGCTCGACATAATACTGGGTTATTTAACCAGCTACGAGGACCATTTACGATGGAATGATAGTGGGTATTCTGAGGTAAGCCTCTCCTGCATGGTCTCAGAATCTCTCACACCGTCAGAAACGCAGATTGGCGAAATACTGACACCTGTGAAATGGGTAGAGCCACTTTAGCTCGACATAATACTGGGTTATTTACCCAGCTACGAGGACCATTTACGATGCAGATTGGCGAACGCAGATTGGTGAAATACTGACACCTGTGAAATGGGTAGAGCCACTTTAGCTCGACATAATACTGGGTTATTTAACCAGCTACGAGGACCATTTACGATGGAATGATAGTGGGTATTCTGAGGTAAGCCTCTCCTGCATGGTCTCAGAATCTCTCACACCGTCAGAAACGCAGATTGGCGACAATTCAACGTACGGCTCTGTTGCGTGTCACCAAATCATACCGAAGTGTGTCTCACGAGGTGGTGCAGGTCTTAGCAGTAGGGGTACCTCTCGACCTTCTCCTGCGAGAAGACTCGCTGATATTTAAGTTAAAAAGAAAAGGCTCAGCAGGTCTTCCGGATAATATACGGGTGAGGATTGCAGAAAACCCAAGAAAATGGAAGAGGTTTATCCGGGAGGATACCACAGATGAGTGGAATCGGTGGTGGGTAACTACCTTGAAAGGATTAACTTTAAGAAAATATTTCCCACCGTTCGTAGTAGCTTGAAAGCGAAGTGGGTTCTCCTGGACTACTGGGTCTCTCAATTCCTTACTAAACATGGGGGTTCCCGCTCTAAGTTACATAGTTTTGGAAAAGACACAGATCCCCTATGCCCCACTTGCGGAGTACCGGAGACCGCTGAGCACGTGATCGTCAACTGCACCGCCTTTGATGGACTAAGGGCCAAAATGATGAGAAAAATTGGAGTCTATGGCCTCTCGGAGGATGAATTTCTCCAGTTAATGACGGAGCAGAACTACCCATATTACAAAGATTTTGTGTACGGGTGGAAAGCTGCTCTGGGGCCCTCACACTTTAATCTGGGAAGAAGAGGACCTGCTAATGGAAGGCTGCCAGATTAATATGGTGGAAATAATGAAAAAAGAGGATATTTGAAAAAAAAAAAAATTGACAATTAATTTGTTGTTTAATAGCAGGAATGGCAGGGACGTGTGTGATATGCCATCCCTGCAAAATTCCGTGTAGCCGAAAGGCAAGGAAGGGAGGCATAAATAAATAAATACTGGGTTATTTGCAGATCTCTGGCGACCTTGAAAATAAATCTAAGTTCTAGCAGTTAACCACTGTTCTAGTGGAATAGAAAGCAGGTTGGCTACCCGACAGTTAAAATAAAATTTCCTAACTTCTGCCTTATGTTTCCCTATTTAATGATAGTTTTCACTGACCAATATTAAATACTAATATTAAAAATCTATAATTTATAACTAAATTTATTTATTATACATGAAAGAAAATTGACTATTAGTCTTTTAAAGAACAATTACAATGTTTTAGAGGAAGCATTTTTTTAAGGTTGATTAAGGTTTTTTTCTTTTAGAACATTAAACTTTTAGTAATTTATTTATCGTTTTTATTTTATTTTCATAAAATGATAGATACTTGACATATTAAACTCTAATTTTCTCTATTATAAAATAAAGTGAGTTACGGGGGATTCTAATATTAATGTAGTTTCTCCTCAAAAGTAATTTAGTTTCTTTATTACTATAAACAGCATAATAATTATCTATATGAGACCAATTGTGCAATTTCTGGTTAATAAATGCTCTTTTAAGGAGCATCATGGATCAAATGAATGCTTGGCAGCCAGATCTGGACAGATGAATATATTACAAATAGTAAATAGTATTGGTATGTTTTTCTTTTCAAAAAAGCACTGTTTTAAATCCATTTTGCTTAAATTTTCATTTTCATTCTTTACCTTTGTTTGATTTCAATATAACAACCAGTGCCGTGATTGACAGTCAAAGGTGGATGAATATACCGGCCATGGTCGTTTATAATGACAATTTACCCCTTCAAGATCATTATAAACAATATCCACTGTATATTTCTTTCCAATTTCAAAAAAATATCTACGTTCTAACTAAAATAATTTCCTGACTAACAAACAAATTTTCCCTGACTTTTTCCATTTTTCTAGATTTTCCAAGTCAGTCATAACCCTGAGAAAGGAGCCTATTTTGTTGGCACAGCTCGACAGTCAAAGCATAACATCATATCTGCCCTGAATCAGTGAAGCTATTGGCGATGCTATGATACTAGGTTATGTACTCATATCAGAGAATTGTTTTGATGATAATAATCAGCTTGGTACATTTCATTTCCTTTTTTTTTTATCAAGTCAGGCAAAATAATATGAAAAATTGTTTAAAATTTACACAAAGCTATAGTAAATAATTTTTTAAAGGTAGAAGTGGCAAGATTATTTGTTACACCAAAATTATTATACAGAGAAATTCAAATATACCTAAATACATACGATATATATTAAATAAGTTTAATAATCCAAAAAAGATTAACTTCAGGTAAATACTCAAGTCCAAACATTGAAAAATCAGTTTGTCTTATTTTAATTAAAGTGCTGATTTACTGATTACCTATTGATAAAACAGTAAAACATTGCTGTGATTTCATTACAAATATATCATATTTATTACTAAAATGATCTTACTAATAATAATTAATATATTTAAAATCAGATACATTCTCAATTCTTAAAATAATATTTTTCAATCATGATGCAGATATTTTCTATTCCAAATATTATTTAAAAAAACCAACATCACTTTGAAGAACTTGGGCATTAATATGTAGATGATTGTTAACATTTTACAGTAGACATAACCTAATGTTGTTATTAAACTATAACTACAAGAACAAATAGATTTTATTAATTAAATAAGATTGAAACTTCGCCATCATCTATTGTTTTCCTTCTGATACAAATTAGAACCATTAAGGTTAACATTTTATTTAAAATATCAAACTAGGATCCTAAATCGAGAGAATTTGGCCATAACATTGAGCAGTTTCAGCGAAATAGACAAGCATTAACAGTAGGCAGTATGAAATGGTGTTCGCTGCCATGGGCAGTAGTAGCAAAATAGTACTATTATGAAAATTTACGAAGATCACTAGATGACTGGTTCACGACAAAATAGCAGTAGCTTTTCTGGCATGGTATTCATAAATTGCCAGAGATATGGGAAAATTGTACAGCTGGCAATAGAAAATATTTGTATATAATAAACGTCTATTTTCTATACAAAATTCTTGATTCATATTTACACACCTGATAATCAAGGCGGTGGCTGGGAGTTTTATAGGGATTTTCTTTTGAATTATTGAAAGAAGCTAGTGGATTGTCCTTTTTTTTTTTAAAAAAAGACTGCATCCTAGATTTACTTTTGGTTTACTCAGTCTGCCGGTGTTCCTCAAGGTAGTATCCTAGGTCCTATCCTTTACAGAGTTTATACAGCTGACATCCCAACCCAATCCAACACTGTCATCACCACCTATGCCGATGACACGTGTATCCTATCAGTTAATAACGATCCATCTATTGCATCCCAAACTCTTCAATCACACATCACAAGACTTGAAAAATGGTGTCAAAACTAGAGGATTAAAATAAATTCCAATAAATCCCATCAAATTACCTTCACTCTTCGTCGTAACCCTATGACTTTCTGCCCAACAGTATCCTTCAACAATAGCCCTCTTATCCCTGTCGAACAAATCCGATACTTCCACCTTGACAAATGACTCACTTGGAACCCCCATACCAGACTGAAACGACTAGAAACTGCCCGACTTTTTCGACTACTGCAGCACTTACTAGACAAACGCTCTAAGCTTTCAATCAATTACAAACGACTCTTATATATGACAATAATAAGACCTATTTGGACTTATGGAATTGAGCTTTGGGGCTCCATTAAACCATCGAATTCCTCTCGTATCCAATCCTTACAAAATCCTTCGTAAAATCCTCAACGCTCCTTACTTTGTCACAAATAAAATCATCCATAAAGACCTTAATCTTCCATATGTTTCCGATTTGGCCCAATCCAGATACCTATCCTTCCATAACAAACTGCAGAACCATCCGAATCCTCTCGTTTCAAACCTTGCTTCCTCCTCGATCCCTGATAACCCTCTGAGGCGTCTGAAAAGAAGATGGCCTCGGGATCTTCTAATAAAGAACTTTAATTTCAGTTCTACCAATGGGTAGTTTCTCTTCATGTTGTACATGCCATGTTACCAATGTCACATTTACTTATTGTATTTTCTATGTAATACAGTTGTAAATTTCATTAAAATAATAAAAAAAAAAAAAACTTTCGGTTTGTATTATAAATAATAATTTGAGTTTGAATGATAATGAAACAGTCTCTTACCTCTTCGAGATAGACAATAGCTCTATCTCTTACTTCGGCTCTAAGCACTGAAGGGTCCTTAGAGTATACTTGCAATAATGTCGTGTATGAAATGAATCCATATCCCTGATCAAAGGCTTCCATATACAAAGAATCATTTATAGCCTCATATTCAATTCCTGTTAAATTTTATATTTGAATCAATAAGTAAAATATATTTAATATTTGTCAAATTAAATTTTAAAAATTATATTTCTAATATATGTTATGTAGCTAAACATAAAACACTGTAGTTAAACATTTTTACTGAATTTATTAGAACTATCACCAGTCATACATGAAACTACCAGAGAAAGGAAGTTTCGTACAAATTCAATTAACAGTCACATCAAAGATTAAAGATGTAACAATTACGATTAGATAGATGACAGAAAAACCATAAAAAAAAAATACCTAGATCAATAAGTAGCAATCAATTGAATCTAAAGTAGGTGGTACAGAACCCTTTTTATCAAATTATTATTATCCGCCTGTAACTTTGTGAAAAGCTTCATCTTATCCTAACCTACAACTTATTTATTTATGAAAAAAATGAAATGGACGCTTTCAATCTGGAGATAAGCAAACTTTGTCTAGTTAATTACTTAAAACTCATGAACATTCATTTGCTTTCCACTTGAATCCTAAGATAATTTGATCACAAAATCGAGAATAAAGGTGGCATACAAAATATTAGGTCATCAGGCATGACCTCCATCCCCAACATGTCAAAATAACAAGGTTATATAGGTCAAATCACCCAATATTTTTGTAGGGTAATTTTTTTATTTCGTGATCATATTATCTTACAATTAAAGTGGAAAACTAATGGTTATTTATGAGTTTTTAGTAATTAATTTAATGAGAAATCTCTCCATTTCTGAGAATTTTTGTTGATAAAAAATTTATAGATTACAATAAGATGAAACCATTCATGAAGTTTTAGGCGGATGTTAATAATTTGATAAAAAGAGGTCTGTGCCACGGGCTACTAATTTTAGTAAAAACATAAATTAAACATGTTTTAAATATAAAAACATTTTTAAACATGAACGTTTTTTTAAATTGTGGGTTGATGGTTGACTGTAGTGAATAATTGAAGAGAAGGATGGTTGTGATGATCAGTCAAAATAAAAAATAGCAAAAATAAATAATATTTATTTTTACATTTACTGACGTTTCGGCCCGAAGTTCAGGCCTTCATCAGGGCTCAGAAAAGAACCAGATAACAATAGGTATGAGAAACAAACAATGTAGGTAGAAAAACTTAAAGTAAAATGAAGTAGATAGAGCGGACATGAACTAAAATAAGGTAGAATAATAAAAATAACAGAGAACTAAGAAATAAATAATAATAATAACAGCTACAAAGTGCGGACTATTGAAGTAAACATAAAATAAGGTAACATACGAACTAAAAATAGTAATCTTAGAATAAAATTTAAAACAGAGAAAAGGAAAAAGTAATTCTAAGATTACCATTTTTAGTTCTTATGTTACCTTATTTTAATTTATGTTCACTCTATCTACTTCATTTTACAAGTAAGTATTTCAAATACCCAAAAACTTAACAATATTAAAATTTTCCAAAAAGTCTTTCCAGTTATTTATTTTAACTTTATTATCATCTTTTCATTTTGAATTGAATATAATTGGGTCACTTTTCTTGAAACCTTGAAATTCAAGCTTCTCTATTTTCTTTATATTTCCACTTTTTAAAACAGTTTTGGTGCAATGGATTCTTATGTTTTGATAACTAAATTATTTTCCTATAGTTTTGATAACTAAATTATTTTCCTCCATAATTGGCATATTTTCTATTTCAATATTTTCAAGTTTTATTGTACCATTTTCTGTTTGACATACATTTATTAATGTAGTTTCTTTTTTATCTGATTTCGCAGATAAATTATTTTCCATGCATACTATCTCTTTATTGAGATTTTGTTTTAAATCTTTTATACCAGTATCATATTTTTTGTTATTATTAACGAACACTTTTCAAATCTTTCTTCCCATTGTTTGGCCCTACTATTTTCATTTATTAATTCTGTTGTAAATGTTTTGAAATTTTGTTCCAATTTTTCAAATTGTTTTATATTTTCCAATTTTAAATTTTTGAAACCATATTTTTAATTCATTTTTCATTTCATTAACGCCGGCTAGAATTTGACTTAACATCGACTAAATATCCGATACCCCCAAGTTAGCACTGTCATTTATTTGAATTCGTTTCTCGGCTACTTGGACCTGCGCAATACTTTCGTAATCTCTAACTAATGAATTTTCCTAATCTAAAATAACTTTTGAACCCTCTGGAATACCCAAATTTTCTTTTACCTCACTATTAAATGCCATTTTGTTTATTTAACAAAGAGTAAAGTGAAAAAATAACGGGGATTGTGTGTTTAGTTATCGTGGCTATATACGTCTATTTTCAAACCACGCATGTTGTTAGGTTACATTTTCTCGACCCCCACGTTGGGCGCCATGTTGTAAGGTTACATGTCCTTTGAAAAGCAAACAAACAGTTTCTGAATCAAATTATATTTATTTTAAACAATAATTATTTCTCAGGTTGGGTTGAGACAAAAAACACACATTCCTCAATTATAAATATAAAATCATACATTAATAGTACATAACATTTTTATGAATTTCCATTCATTTGTCGGGGTCTAATCTTGGCGCCCTTTTGAACTGTCACTATTTATATTTCACTCACCCTGTTCTGCAGTGAATCTTCTTCTATTTTGTTGTCTTCAACTCCTACAATCTTCTATTCTTCCTTTGTTGGCACTCACTACTTGTTAGTCACATTTTCTTGTCTCGAACCTCTTTACTAGCCGGCTGGCTACCTTCTTCCTCAACATATGGCACTTGCTTCTCCTTCAATCTGTCTTTGTCCATTATTGACACTAGTTTGTGACATCACTGCCTTCGCGCCACTATTTAAACTCACTATGTAATATTTACATTACAATATATATATATCTTTCATTATTTTCCTTTCTCATTATAATAAAATATAAACCAATAACTACACCAAGCCTAATAAACTACACTAAGCCATCAACATTGCATAACATACACATTAAAAAAAAAAATTTGAATGCTAAGAATTCAACACTAAATCGCACACACATGTATCCATAACTATAGACAAAAAGACAACGCTAAAAATTTAAAATAGAATAAATAAATGATAAAAGACATCCTCAATTCATGATAAATTACTATACAAGTTAATAATATGTTAATATGTTACCTATAGGGCAGCTGAAACATGAGCAAACCGGGTGCAACTTCACCTCTCCGTAATCACCTTTCTTTTTTGCTATTGGAATCGTTAAGTCAGAAGACTTATTGAGAGACTTAAACAATAAAAAAAAAGGATTTATTATTAATTATTATGAGGTTTGTACCAATACTTCAAACCATATAAAAGTGAGAAAAAAAATTATCCTTATGCATTAACTAGTATAACTTTAAGAGAACTCTCACATTTGATATATAAGATCAAAAAATATCGTTCTCTCTAATCGAGGTATGTGACAACACCGAAACATGTTTATTTGTACATACACTATAATATTATCAAAATATTCCATTTACACATACAATTGGTTAAGCTTTATACTTTGCCACAACTTTAAAGTAACTTCTTCTTCTTAATATGCTCCTCGCCTATCGCCTGGAGCATTGTGAGGATTTTTTCTGTAGAGCTTAATCCTTTCTGTTTGATCCTTTGCCAGATCCAGTTCTTCTTCTCCAATCCAGATTCCTGAACCACGAATGCCTCCATAACATCTTCCTCTCTGGTTTTCTGATGGCGTCCTTGGCTCCTTCTTCCATCCGTCTTCATGTCATAGATCTGCCTAGCTATTCTCTCATCTGGCATCCGTGAGATATGTCCAAACCATCGTAGACGATTCTCCTCCAAGGTTTCATGTAGTGATTTTAGGCCGAGATTGTTCCTTGTCTTAATGTCTCATCAGCCAGTATAATTGTCTTAATTCCTCACAAAACTCTTGATACTTTTAGGATTTTTTTCATTTAATGTTTTAGCAACATTACCATCAGCAGGAACTCCAACTTTGATGGCTTTCTTCATTTTTTTTTTTGTCAATGAGCAGTATCTCTGGTCTGTTGTGAGAGATACTGTGGTAAATTATCATAGTTTGATCCCACCTTTTTCTAATATTTCCTGGGATTGATGTGTGTAACAGGAATGATGGTTGGTATTAATTTATATTTTTGAACCAGAGTCTGATGGACGATTTTTGCTGCATTATTGCGCCTCGTAAGGTATTCTTTATCTGCTAATTCTTGGCAGCAAGAAGTTACATGCTGTATCAATCCATTTGAGGCTTTACATAGACGGCATCGGGACGCAAACTCGTGATTATTTTTATCCTGTTATCTTATGTATCAGGTTGCCGGGGAACAGCGGTGCTGTGCACACACGTTAGCCAGTTCGGCCACCCTGCCCTCTGCACAACATCTGTCATCGACTGTTTCTTGTAAAATATACTTCCTTCCTGAAGGAGTACGTTGCCATGACTTGTTCTCGTATCACCATTAGAAATCCCTCAGTCTCTGGAAACGTTTTTTCTCTAGTTGACAGATTAATTCTAAATTAATTACAGGGATTTTCAAGAAATTATAAAATCTTCCATAAAGAGATTTAAACTTTCATGATTCTGTAAGCCTCTCCTCAGTTGATACTGTCATTATTTCTCACCTAAGTGTGGTTATTCTTCTTCTTATTATTATTAGAATATTATTATTTGCCTACCATTAGCAAAGTAATACATAACCTTACACATACAAATACACACAGGCAGGTAATGGGGTTAGTAACTCAAGAGTTTAGAAACCCTTAGAACACCCTTTAGAAACCCTAAGACTCTAGAACACTATATTGAGACTTTAAAACACTACTTTTCTTACTTTCATAATGGCATCACGGATAGCAATATACTTAGGTGTTAAATCACCAGCTTCAGAAACAGGAGCATCATAATCATAGGAAGTGATATCAGCTAGATAAGTTTCTTCACTGCCTGAACCTAAAAAATATTACCTATTATCAATTAAATTGTTAAATTAAGTATGATAAATAAAAATTATTATTGTAGAGCAAACAATGAAGCAATGTTCTCGTTCAGTTATTTTACGTTGAAAACAAAACATCTATTATAATTACTAAGGTTAAACATTCAAATTTGCATGGTGTCTACCATCATAGGCACAGACTTTCCATTCTCATCGGGAGGGGGGGCAATGGAAAATTCTCAAAAAAAGAGGAGTTTATATTATGTACAAAATTGTGAATGATAATTAACATAATTATTGTAAAATGAACAATATAATACTATATATAAAGATAAATTTATATAATTGTTAAAAAAAATATACGTATGTTTTTTTTTACGTACAGATATATTTGAAAATATGTTAATTTAGCAATTGAATATGTTACATTTGTCATTAACCTCAAATAATTAAGAACTTTGATGAATTTTTGCTTTATGAAATCAGAAAATTGTGAACTCAGTAATACATAAAAGGGTGTTTTATCATAGATAAAAAATGTTGAAACTGACAAAAACGTTTTTGGAAGTTAACCTACATCAAAAATGTACTTTTTGCAATAAACCGATAATATTTTTATTTCTGTAAAAAGGTTTAAGGTAGTAAGATGGACTTTCAATTCTCCGAATGCTTTAAATTTTCTGCAGAAAATGTGATAAAATCTTAACATAAAAATAGAAGAGTGTTCATGAATGAATCATAAAATCTTAAGATATGTTTTATACTTATAATTATCTTTGAATATAAACAAAAATTTCAATAAAGGTAACATAGGCTGTGGTAAAATGCTTTTGTATCTACTTCCACGCCTTAATTTAGCTACTAGTCTAGTCGATGTATTTCTAAACAGATTTTAGTTTACAAATTTTTTTCATATATGCATATTAATTGTTATTGGTTTTGATTTTATTTTTGTTCTTCAAAATATTGGGAGGGGATGGAGGAGCGAAACGATATTCTCGCCCCCTCTCTATTTCTACTGAAGGCCGAGTGCCCCATTGCCCACCGCGATTACCACTTATTTGTTTTAAGAGGCAATAGGTAGCAACAAGTGACAGCTCTATTTAGATAAAGCACTTTCAGTAATTTGAATGCAGCCATATTGTATCTTTGTTGATGTGATCTATCCATCTGATTTTTGGCCTTTCACATGGTTTCTTGTCTACTATTGAGGCATTCATTGTAGTGTAAAGGCTTCCAGGGGGATTGATCTGAGCTACATGTACCGCCCATCTTAACCTCCTTACCTTTATATCATTCTCTTCTACTAAGATACCTCTACTAAATATAGGGATGAAATTTTCAGCTTATTATCGTATATTGTAATGTACACCTTTATTGACAGTGATTAAAAAGGATTTAATAAATTATTGTTGAACAATTAAAAGGCAAGCTAATCTAGTTCTACTAGTGCAGGGATAAGAAAATGACTGCTCTGTAGTTTCCCAAGAAGGAAAATCCCAAAGAGGAGAGGGATAAAGGTTTTTTGTTTTGGGAAGCAGTTGTTGTGTGACTGTAGTGAAGAGAGGATAAGAGTGATCCTGGCTCCAGTGGGAAAAACCCAGGAATAGTGTTACCAATTTGGAAGAGTTGTTTGGCAGAACTTTGGAAAGTGTTTGAAGGCAAATGAGTTCAGTGTCACAAAGGAAGAAACATATAATATAGAAAAAGGTTAGCTTGTCAATCCATACTTGACTTTATTATAAAATCAGTGTTTAATTTTAGTATAAATAGTGTAAATAATAATAGTTTGTCTGAGTTGATCCGATTGTTAGTAACCCATACTTGAGATAAATAAATATATTAATTCTCATATAATTTTGTTTATTATTAAACAACCTCTTGCTTATTTAAGAAGTATCCCAATGGTAAGAAGTAAGCTTCCGAGGTTATATTATTATTATTTGTAAAATATATGAGAGATGTTACAATATTTTGTTTACTTATCATATATCTTCATTTACTTGTAGGTCAATTTGCTTTCCTTTTCTTATCAGAGAAAAAAATAATATTCATTAAGAGGAAAATAGATACAATTCTGTTGGGCTGGTCTGCATATGTAGAAGGGTCAAAGAGTCTAGATAGACAATGATGGACGAGCCTGTTTAGGCATTGTCTGCTTTAACATTCTCGAGTCTATTGGCACCAAATAGAATCCGGCCGGATAGGTAAGGGTTGAAATTTATTTCTGGCGGAACCCATGGAATGTATCTCCACCTTCTTACTTTAGTCACAATAGGTTGGTTATACCAATCGAATAACTCTCCCATATGCCAGAAATGACCAGATAGGGAGAAAAATAAAAAGAAACTTTCTTATAAGTTTTACTTTCCAATTTTGACTTGACTAATATTTCATTTCAATTTAAAAATAATAAATATAATATTTTTTTTCTTCTAAATTAACTGGTTTAGATTCATTGAAGAACCTGCAATTACCAAAGATTGTTTCTTCAAGAGCTATCAACAGATAAAACTAGCTAGCATATCACATTAACGATTAATTATGGTAGCTTTATTATAGTTGCAAACTTTGAAAAATAAAAAGATTTAGTTAAAAAAGTATAATGCTTTAGGGCGTACATGTTTTTATAGTACAGATAAATTGTTAAAATAATCATCCAGAGTTTTGGTAGCCATTCATTTAATCAGCATTCCCCATAGGTGATATATTAAATATTGTGACACACATCCTTAAACTTTTAAGATCTTACAGTATAAGATAATTAATCATGTTTGAATTTCATGTTAGCTAACACACAAGCTCAAAAATTGATATAATCAAATATCCTGAAATCACACAAATAAAAACACATAATTTAATTTTAAAATCACATGTAACCGGAGGTAGTTCAGAAGACATGGCAAGACTGGATCAAGTAACCAAATATCTACAAGGTCTTTAAAGACAACAGGAAAAAAAAGAAAAACTTTTTTTTTTTTAATATTCAATTAATTCAACCAGAAGTACAATAAAACTGTATGGCTGGTCCACTATGTTGAGTTGCTAAATGACTCAGCATACTGATCAGTTTTAATCGATAATATTTATTAAGAGAGAATAAAAATAATAAAGTTTTACGGGACCATCATCAAAAGTACCAAATGTTATAATTTATTTATTCATGGCTATAATTTTCTTCCTTCTCACAACTGTCTGTAGAGCCCATAACAAAGTTGCCAGAATTAATACAGGTGATAGTGTAGGATTTCTGATGAGTCCAAAATAATAGATTCCTTCATTCTCTGCAGATGGCTCCTTTTCACACGCAGCTTTTCCAAAAACTCATCAGTTGAAAGAAGAATCACCGATCCGAAAATTCTCACTCACCAAATTCCTCTATATTTCTCCTGTAAGTATAGAATGCATTTTTTATAGATCTCCTCTTTTTCTGTTCGTGTTTTGAGATCTTGATCCTCATCGTTTTGTAAATAACCTACTGAAAGTTAATTTTAAATAATTAGTTTTGGCGGGAATAGCGAATAGCCTTCCGCTTTTTATCAGGGAACTAGGTTATTTACACTCGAGATGATTAATACAAAACCCCGGCACTCGATATAGACTTTTTGAGGGTGTTTAACTGTTGTTGGGAATTCGGGAATCTAATAACTTTTGTGATACTGAGTGATAAGAAACAATAAGAATACATATATGAAATGTGGGACTTAGTAAACACACTTTGAATGAATTGACTCATCTGGTTTGTTGTTCTTCAATCGTGAGGCCTATAGGACAACTAAATAAAATGACATTTCACTCCTGTATAATAAAACAATTTATTATGACAACTGTAATAAATTAATATATAAAAGTCTTATAACTGTAGGCTTGATATTCTTAGTCTTCAATGTAGTAAGCCTCTCTGCCCAGATGACGTCTTCTCGTCTTCGTCTTCGTGTCCAAGCCTCAAGTGCTCTTCTCGGCGTCCTTCTGCCAGCTGTTGCAAGCTACCTGCTCTGACCTTTTTCCAGCATCCTTCTTCATAGATTATTTAAAGATATGAGACATTTCCATGAATAATTTGTCCACTGCATAATTGAGTACAATTCATCGTGCAACCTCACATTCCTATATATTCCTTCTCATTCCCTCACACACTGTCATATAAAGGAGTAAATACCAGTGGATGTCTACGACAGTTTGTTTCACATCGAATTGTAGGATCAACTATCAGAGTCTCTTTTCCTTTCGCACTAAAAGCTAAGATACCTAAGAATCTCACTGAGCCTTCCATATCTATACAATATAATAATAGATTATTATTATTACTTCAGGAAATCCAAAAAGCGGTAATGTTGATAACCGCCAACATTGTTCGAAATTTTTTTAATATTTCAAATTAAATAGTCAATAAACTGCACCCTTGATCTTGGACCGGGTCAGTGAATTTATCCGGCATAAAGCCGAGAATTGATAAAATATTAATAATAATAATTGGATAAAAAATAGATATATACTTTTTTGTCTCCAGGAGCATGTTATTCGAACATTTTCCCAATACTTGAGCTGGGGTTTCTGACTCTTAGCCACATTTGAGGCAAAGGGATTCAAGTAATTAATATTTTTAATATACTACCAATAGCTTTTATTAATATTAATTAAATTGAATTTTTTCAACAGAATCGTGTAAAGTAAAGACAATCAACTTGTTAACGTACTTACCAGCTGTGAATCCAAAGTTGGTCCCACCGTGGAACATGTACATACTGAAGGACACATTGTTTTGTAAGAAGGCCACAATGGTATTGACTAACGCCTGCGTTTCAGTTTCGGCTCTCGGCCTTCCCCAATAGGAAATCCATCCTGTGTACAACTCAGAATTGACCAAGGGACCATTTGGTTGAATAGCTAATAGTGCATCAAACTTCTCTTCTATCGGTTCGTCACCTGTGAAAAATATACAATTAAATTTTCTGAACAGCATTATTTATTGTTGATTACGTGCATTTTTATTAAATAGATCATCAGTTTATTGCAAAAAGCCACTAAGTGCATTTTTGATATCCGTAAACTTTCAAATGTGTTTTTGTGGTTTTCCACCTTTTTTATCAATACAAAATCGCCGTAAGAACATGAAAATAGCACAAACCCTGTTATTTATCATAGATATTTATACTAACTGCACAAATCCCTGATTTCACAATGAGAAAATTCATCAAAGTTCATAATTATTTGAGGTTATCAAATGTCACTTAATGACTTTTTGCAATAAACGTCAAAATATTTATATTTTTGATAAAGACTCTATAGTGGGATCTTGATATATATTATTAAATTTAATCATTAAATGATAGTAAATATAGTTGACTATTCATAAAATCAAATAAAAGGTGGTACTAGCAAATTAAGGTGAGGATGAGAGGTACTTTTGAGCTGAAGCAAAAACGGCTCTAATGATTTTGATCAATCTATAATTTTCTACTTAATATCCTTTTAATTTTCATACATGTACTAAATTTCCAAGAAAATTAAGGAAAAAAGTTATAAAGAAAAGAAACATGATTTGGAGCCTAACTCGTAAAGTGTATGTAAGTGTATATAGTAAAATTTATACACTTTTTTAAAAAATAATTAAATTACTAAAAAAAAAAAATTTTTTTATTGGAATTGAACCAGTATTAGCAATGATACAATGTATTTTATTTTCTAGACATTTTATAATTTATTACTTTCCTACCGCTACTAGGTAAGGAAATTATTGCGGTCAGGTCAAATTTCAGATGTGCAATTTTCAAATAATCTTAATGTTTCAGAGCCCCTTGAGAACGAAAAACACTTTTTCCAAAAATCAAAACAAAAGATATCAACTTTGCAGTAGAACGTGTGGAAAATATTTATAATAACATATCTTAGCACAAATCATCCAATTTCAATTTTTAGAAAATTTCATAAACTTTTAAATGACTATATACAACATCAACAAAAAACTTTATACTTAAATTTAAAGGGCTTTGAGGATAAGAATTTAGCCCACTTTTACTGAAATTGGTACATCGATTTAAGTGGTACATCTAGAGGACACAGATCATTCGGCAGCTATCTTGAAAAGAAAGTACTTTTTGGTGAAGTACGTCATATACATAAATTTAAAGAACATCGAGAAGACTTTAGCAAAGTTTCAATAAAATCGGTATATTCCGTACAGTCTATAGCAGAAGGCTCTTAACTTTTTTTTCTCATTCAATTACAATGGTCAATAATTGAAAATAATATACTAAATTTAAAAATCGAACAGTTTTAGCTAAGTTATAGTGTATTGATAAATAAAACTTAGAATAATAAAATATAAATTAAGACATAAAACAATAAATTTCATTTTTTTTTATTTCTAGCTGCACTCCATATATACATATAGTCTTTCAGAAATAAAATATATATACTTGGACCAAAATCGACAGTAGCAAAAACTCCAGGTATTGTTCCTCGGGTTAACAAATCAGTTGTAAAACCGTCAGTTGTAAATAGCACTGCATCATTTCCGACATGCTTCTCCATTATGTTCTTCAGCCATATCGTGTAATTTTTATCGTTAATAGGGTAACTACCATATTCATTTTCAACCTAAAGAAGTAGTCATAAAAAAATAAAATAATAATAATAATAATAACACAAATTCTGGAGCAATACAAGGTTGTTACAAAATCTTTAAAGAAAGAAGGTCAAATTTATTCTGGGTTATTTAGTCCCCTAACTGTAATGAAAATATGGAATTATAGTTTTATTTGTCTGACATAAAATCAATAATAACAATATGAATGAATGACAACGTTTTTAATATAATTTTAAAAAAATACAAAGTAAAATGTATATATATATACAAACAACAACACATAGACAATGGAAAATTCTGTCTGTCGCGGTCTGTGTTTAATTAATAATAAATATTCATTGCATTTATAAGTAATATATTTACAGTATTATTATATATTTATACAGCCATTTTAGCAATTTCTTCCTTCAATGATCAACACAAAACGTTTTTGGGGGTTAGGACCTTATAGACTAGACAGAATGGCATAGGAGAGAAGTTTTTCTATATTTCTGTCTTATAAAATAATAAAAATTTAAAGTTATTGATATGGGTTAGAGGAGCAGGAATTCAGCTTTCCAACGGTTGTATTAACGTTAAATTTGGAGAAAATTGAGAAATTATAAATTTTTAGTAGATGGTCAGAAAAAAAGGTCCGACAACAAAATCAAGCACTAAAGTTTAAATTTTTTGATTTTTATGAAAATTTATATTTATGATTTTTAAAGGATACATGATTTTTATGATACATCATAACTAATTGGCAATATTTTTATTTTATTCTACAGAAAAAAACTGATTTATTGTAACATAGTAACTTAGGAATCCTGGCAAAATAACAGTAAAATGAAAAATTTTTTTTTTTTAATATTTAAAACATTTATTTTCTTGATAATTTTGTTGAAGTCAGTGGTTTACTCACTGTGACTTCCCCTTGTAAGTGTCGCAAGTGTCATGATGAAATTTTACTTTATACCGATTCACCAATGTTTGGTATGACTCCAATATAACTCCTGATACTCTTTCAAGTAGTTCACGGTAAAGCCCAGTGTTAATTTTCACCTCCCATTACCCAAAGTTCCTCGTTTGCTATCTTCGCAGATGTTCATTTTTTTTTTTTCCTCTTCAGTCGTGACTCAGAAGATCTTGAATGACAATCTTTTCTCTGACATTTTCGGAAAAATTTATTAAAAAGGAATTAATTGCAAAATGCAGTTGGTATAGATAATTAAATAAAAGAGTCAAAGTATACAACCACATCTACATTGTTTTCATTAAAATCGAATAAAGATTAAAATTGAAATTATGTCTGCAATGAATTAATACAAGACTTCCGTAACAACCTAATACAATTTAATATAAAATAACTTACTTGAATCATTATTATGTTACCACCACAGCCATAAAGCAACGGTTTAATTTGAGTAAATAATACATTAAACCACTTTTCGACATAGTACGTGTAAGCTGGAACACAATAAGTGGTACTATTTCACAAGTGTAACTCCAACATTAGCACAAGATCACACGATCACACTGTAGATCCTAAAATGGCCAAAGTAGGAGACAACCAAATTGTCTGAATAATGCTGTGAATCCAACTGAAAAGTACTTAATGGGAGTTTGTTTATCTCTTTTAAGTGAGTTACAGCAAGTCGATGGACTCAACTGCAGGTTCTATTTAAACTGAAAAAGACCCAAAGGGGATGGTTCTTCTAAATATAGGTAGGTTACACAGCCTGCATAGAGGTAGGTTACACTCTTCAATCTGGTTGTCAATACTTGGCCAATTTCAAAATTCTATCTACAGTGTGATCTTCTACCAGCCGTCATGTTCGAGTGACACTTGTGAAGCAGTAATATATAAGTTTTCATAAAAAATAATACATGAAAGTATTTTAGATGCAAGTATAATGAAGAAGGAAGATATCTTTGATACTTTAATACCTTTTAATTGATATAAAGAGCATTAAATCCAAAACAGTTCTAGTTTATTTATTGAAAAGTTTTAGCATGAAATAAAATATCCAACAAGTTTTACTTACTACTCAACTTGAACAGTTCTCGATACTTATTAGAGACAGTCTGCCCATCATATTATATCAAAAATACTTTATTTGGGTCAAATAGATTGATTAAATAGAATCTTTTCAACATAAAAGTAAATGAGATACTTACAGGTATCATTTGTTCGTAACTGCATTTCAGGATTAATCCTCAGCAACCAATATGGAAAACCACCCTAAAAAATTATGAATATGTTTTAAGTTAAGAGTTTACAGTGTTAAATGAAACACTGATTTTTTATCTTTACTTGATTGATTAATGGTACTTACAAATTCTCTCTCAGCACAAATGTATGGACCTGGTCGTAATATTGCAGTTAAATTAAGTTCTTGAGCAATGCACAAAAATCTTATAAGGTCGTGGTCTCCATCGAAGCGAAATTCTCCTTCCTTCGGTTCATGAAAGCTCCACTCCACATATCTGAAGCATTTGAAACAAGGATTCTGTTAGAATTTTAATAATTAAGTTTTAAAACCGAAGTATAGATTTAAAAATAGAAAACGGTAAAGGCTCACGAGAGTTCCGTACAGATTAGGCATAATTCACAACACTTCGATCACACATATTTATGGAATTCCCAAAACAGTTTAATGTTATGATATCAGCTCTTGTCTTAATCACCCATTTCCTTTTCACACATTAATAAAAACCCCACGTATCTCCAGCATAGAACTTCCTTATTGAAAATTTATTTTAAAAATTGTTAATTATTAATTGATATGTAATAAGAAAAATAAATTTTATTTTGGGACTAAGTCCCCTTAGAATAAATTAAATTACATGGTTATCTAGATCTAGATAATCTAAGAAAAGACACTGGTAGACATATGAAATCATAGATAAATTCTGATATGCGAATTCACATATTTGTACACATAAACAATGTGGGTGACATATAATTATCTGTCGGATAACATTAAAGAGACTGACAGATCTGAAAAACGTGAACATTATTTTACACATATTCGGAAGATTGATTGGTGAGGAGATGGATAAATAAATTATGTTTAAATGAGGTCAAGAATGAGGATTTATGTATGGAGGTTGGTAGGGAATTCCAAAACCAGGTAGCACGCATGAAAAATGATTTTTTAAAGGAAACATTTCTATGAGAAGGAATAAACAGTTTGAGGGCTGGGATCTCATGTTGAGCGAAAGGGCAGAGGAACAAGGAGTAAACAAATCGAGAAGGTAAGAGGGTTTTTTGGTTGAAAAGGTTCAAAAAAGGAAAACACCTAGGAAGCATTGCCGTCGGAAGACTGGATAGAGCCACTTCAACTCAGCATACCAACTGGAGACATGGGAGCGCATGGGGACTCCAAAAATAAATCGAATGAAACAATTCATTAGTCTCTTTAATCTGATCTCAAGCCCATCAGACAGTCCACCGTATAAAAGGCTGCCATAATCGAAATGAAGGAAAATGAGTGAGGAAACTAGAGAAAAAGGAGTGGAGCTGATGAATTTTAAGGAGCATGGAATTATGGAATCTTAGGAATTGTTTCTTTGCAATGAATTTGCAGAATAAGGTGGTCCAGCAGCGGATTCAGGATTTAATTTTGGAGAGAGGGAGTATTTTATTTGTATTTCAAAGGCCATTATTCGGAAAGAAAATATATAAAATGACATTTGAGTAGTGCTTGAAGTTCTATGTAAAAAAAAATGTTTTTGCAATAACAATTTTTTTGACAATGCTTACATTAAATAGCTGTATTTAACTTATATTTTAAAAAGAGTATAATATATTTTATTATTATTGTTTTAGTATTTAGCTTAGATCATTTATAAGCAAATATGAGCCAATGATACATAAAATTATTTTTATATTTTGGAAGAGGGATTTCAGCCCGAAAGCCACACTGGAGTACTTTGGCATTCCATGAACAAGTGTGACCAAAGTGATTTGAACTACACCTAATCCATGTGGAGCTCTCACGAAACAGTACCTAAAAGAACATTAAAATTTCTTTGATAAGGCTTAAATATTATTGGGAAATAAACCCTCACGTGGTAACTGTATTGCACCCTGCAGCTTTCAATTTGCTTAAGCGATCCCTCCAGTAAAACCTTGGTACTCTGAAGTAATGAATTTCACCGGCCACAAAAGTAAAAGGTTCGCCATCTTTTAAGAACTGTTTATTATTATAATCCACTTCAAAAGTTTGTTTACTATTTGTCTAAAAAAAAAAAGTTACCAATAAGTTAATTAATTAAAAATTAATTTGAGAATACAGAATATTAAGTAAATAGTTCCTTCAATACATATTAATATTATCCATTTAACTAAATTATTCTAAATGATGCATTGAAATTTCTGTTTCGTGCTTTCACTGTTCTGTCACTATACTTCACATGGAAAACTCTTAGAGTATTTTCATTATTCTTAAAATGATAAATTATGCCAGGATAGAAAACCTTCATTATTTAGGGCTAATTCCTTCATGATAATGTGTTCCTAATACTGGCTCTGGTATTGGTGGAAAAAAACTAGTACAGCTATAGATAAACCTATCTGTATGTGTGTGTGTGTGTGTGTGTGTGTGTATATATATATATATATATATATATATATATATATATATATATATAGAGAGAGAGAGAGAGAGAGAATAGAATAGAATAAAAGAATCAACTTTAATCTGGGATAAAGTCCCTTAAGAATAACAATATTGATCATAAAAATTAACATTACATCTGGCCAAAATGCATATTACAATAAAAGAATAACTAAAACACAAGTAACAAGAAAAGTATTTACATAGCTATACAGAGATATCAGAGAAAAAATATGAGCAATTAGGTCACAATACTGCAAAATAATTGCTACAAACAACAAAGTATGAAATAACTAAATGAAATTGGAAAAGAATAATAAATTACTTTTGTTGTCAAACCATTGTAGTATTGAAAAAATAATAATAGAAAAGTAGATGAATATTTACAATAAATGATTTACATCTGTACATTAATATGTTTAGATGAATACTTATAACAGTATTGTAAACATTAGAAAAGTCTTATATAATCTATATTCTAAGATATAGATTTATAGGAGAAAATAAAAAAAAGATAATATACATATAGAGGAGTATGTTCAATATTAGAAAACAATTAAATACATCTCAAAGACTTCAAATCTTATAAATAGAAAAAAAATAATTCTCAGTGAAAAGTGACTGGAAATCTTTTCCATGCTCATAAAAGAAAAAATATATATAAACGATGTATAGAGAAAAATGAAACCTTGTTAAATACTAAATAACTACCCAGAATCTGAATGAATTGGAATAACAGGGTTTTAAATATGGATAAAGATGGTACAAGATAGATATTAAGTGGGAAGGAATTCTAAAAAGTGGTGGTGATGACAATAAACTTTATATATATATATATATATATATATATATATATATATATATATCGAATAAAATAGAATAGAAGAATCAACTTTATTCTGGGACAAAGTCCTTTGAAAATAACAATATTGTACATAAAAATTAACATAACATCTGGCTATAATGTATATTACAATAAAAAAACATATAAAAAAACTAAAAATAAGTAATAACAGAAGGATTTACCTAACTATACTGATATATTAAAGCCATAATATGAGCAATAAGGTCCTAATACTGCAAGATAGTTACTAAAAACAATAAACTAAGGAATTTTAAGTGAGATTTGGAATGAATGATAACTTACTTTTGTTGTCATACCATTGTATCAATGAAAAAAATAATAATAAAAGAGTGGATAGATATTTGCTTTAAATGATTTACATATGAACTTTAATATGTTGAAAGAATACAATAATAGTATTGTAAACATTATGCAAGTCCTATATAATCTAAATCTTAAGATGTAGATTGATCGGTGAAAATGAAAGAGAATATCCATATAGACGAGATTATATACATATATACTATACGTGATAAATGGCTACCCAGCGTCTGATTGAATTGTAAGGAGGAATTGGAATAAGAGGGTTTTAAATATGGATAAGGATGGTGCATGGCGGATTTTAAGTGGGATGGAATTCCAAAAGAGCGGACAATAAAGGAGTGTTGAAATGAGGCCAATTTGTGGAAAGGAGTACAAAGGTCAGAAAGACGAGATCTTGTGGAGAAGGAGTGGATAGATGACTTGAATAGAAGGAGATTGAATGCGTAGGACGGACGATGATTATAGATTATTTGGTAAAGGAATGTACCTAGGAAATATTGACTTCGGAAGGAAGGAATGAGCCACCCTAACTCCGGCGTAGTAGTGGGAAACATGAGAACGTCTCAGGGTTCCATAGACAAATCGTACTAACCCATTCGTGATTCTTTTCAGTCTGTCTCCAAGTTCCGATGAGATATATATATATATATACATATATATATATATATATATATATATATATATATATATATATATATATATATATATATAGAGAGAGAGAGAGAGAGAGAGAGAGAGAGAGAGAGAGAGAAAGTTATTTCTATTTTGTCTACCACTAGAAGCTACCAGTAAGTTCTAACCAGAGTGGGAGTGTTAAGAATAACATTTTAAACAAAAACCAACTATTAGGTGGGCAAGATGGGAACTCTCACCACTGTGAACTGGAAATATCTTTCCTAATCATTTAACTTTTGACTTGAATTTTAGAGAAAAATGGATACAATGCTATAAATCAGGCTTCTTCAAAATGAAGAACAGAAATGGTCTACAAGTTCTTATCAGTTTTAAAAATTTCAACACCACTAAAAATAAAATAAAATAGAGAATAGAGATTCTCAATTAAGATTTATCACAAACATCTCCTTAGCGTTAAACCAAGTAAACCAAACATCTTCTTCTCCTTATCACATCCGATATATATCACATAGAACTTTTTATTCGTAAATTTGAAACAGAAAAATAAATTATAAAATTAAAACCAAGAGTTCCATCACCACCAAATAAACAGCGGATATACCAAACGGAAATTCACAATCGAAGAACTTCTCTACTCTTAAGGCTCGGTCACACAGAACGCGATATTTATCGCGGCGATATAGCGCCACAGTTGTATTACTATCTATTCTACTATACCAGTCACATAGAGAGCGTTACGCTACAGCGATACATGCTGTAGCGCCGGGGCCGGCGATAAATTGATACAAATTACAAAAATATCGCCCTCCTTCGGCGTTATTCTCTACCTAATGTAGGCAGAAAATTTAGCTAATACCCAAGTTAATAGGATTATTGCAGGATTATAACGGCGTGTTCACACAGAAGGCGTTATTTATCGCGGCGCTACAGCGCTACAGTTGTATTACTATCTTTTCCACTATAGCAGTCACATAGAGGGCGTTACACCTCAGCGATACATTCTGTAGCGCCGGGGCCGGCGTTACGTTTGAAAAATATTACAGGTGTATCGCCGGGGCCGGCGTTATGTTTGAAAAATATTATAGATACAAATTATAGTTGAAATTATTTAGTGGTAGTATTCATATAGATATGGTAACACCGAATTATTTATATAAAAAGTGAGGAATTTTCCATTTTTATTTGATGAGACCTCAAGCAAATATTAAAAAAAATTATTAAAAAGGAGGTTACATGGAAAAAAATTGTGGAAGAGCTAAATATCACAAGTAATGTATTAATTGATATTATTATTATAATTATTGAACATTATAATAATTATATGTTATATACTTTTTTATCTTGAAATCATTTAAAAATTATACTTACGTTCTTTTGCTAATTTTGATATGTCATTTGAAGTAAATAATAATTTGAAATAAATCTGGTTTTACTTAAAAAAAAAAGGAGAACGAAAGTTCATTATTAAAATATCTTCTGGAATATATTAAAAAATTATAAAAAAATATGTTATTTGGTTATTCCTGTATTTCTTGCTTTGAAATATTAAAAAAATTAAATATATATAAATATATATATATTTAATTTTTTTAATATTTCAAAGCAAGAAATACAGGAATAACCAAATAACATATCTTTTTATAATTTTATGTTCATTAGCACAATTTTTAAGAATTGGAATGTAATACAATTTTGTTAAAGAGAAACAAGCTTCATCGCTAGAAACCGGCAGTAAATATTCGAAAAACGTGTAGCAAAAACTCAAACACTAGCAAAAAATTGTTGGAAAACCTAATAAATATAAAGCAAACAATTTCTTAATAAAAACAAATTAAATTGAAACATAGTTTATTTATCTATAAAGTTATGGCCTTATTGTTAATTTAATTTTTTTATTATATTATTAAAAAATAGTTGGTTTTTCGATTGTAGATTGTCAAGTCCCCATTTATTTAGTATTGAATGGAGTGATTCGTAATTTTTGACTAGTGGTTCACGTCAATAGTCATCTCAACAAAAATAATCAAACCAATCGTCCTCTCATATTTATTAATAGAAAAATTAAATTTTGAAATGTCACCAAAACAGTTGTTAATTAATTGGCTTACTCTCAAAACTATAAGAAAATATATTGGTATTTTGACTTTTGCTTACCTATGTATATATAACAAAGGGAAAGTATTCCTATCGCTAAAATTTTCGAATCTGAGTTTTCAACGGAAATACACGTTTTGAGGTCCCCTAAGCCCAAATAACCAAGTCCTGCTAAAGGGTCTGTGTGTCTGTTAGTCTGTGTCTGTGTGCAAGTGAACAGCCTAGCTCGAAAACGAAAACTCGCACGAAACTTAAATAGCGTATTTAAGGTTTTTATATATAAAATCAGCTAATCGGAAGTATCACTTTATATCAACAGCGAAACACATATTTACAGTTTTCCCAAAAACTGCTCTAACGATTATGATTAAACTCGGTGTATCATTGCATAATTAAGTGGTCTTTAATATCATTTAGGTCTTTTCCCCATTAATCTCACTTTACAGAGTTTAAATGTACAATGTTTATATACATCTTTCCCTAAAGCACCTTTAATATGGATTATTTGAAAAAATCAGCTCTCTTGAGCAGCTAGATTTTCATTGGCTACCGTCGATATAATAAATAGACTTTTTGTAATTTTACTGGTCTTAAAGATTTGTTATCTCTAAGCTTTAAACTTTAGCTCCGTTTAAAATGCACTTCAATTTTTTTTAAATAACCCAACATTGCCACAAAATTATTTCTATTAAAAGTAGTGGGGTAAGTGAAAGTTATGTGTTAC